AACATGTTTGAGCTGAAAATTATCAGTGAATAATATGACCATAACAAGGAAAAATTGTAATTTGTAGCCTACAGAGCTGAGTGTCAGCGATTTAGCAGCTCTCAGGCGCTCATAGCCCTGTTATATTTGTTTACTAAAACAAGGGATGGTTCACATAATTTACATGTATAGCGTAGCATATTATATATACACATATTATAATATAGCGCAGGGCGAGTAATTCAACGTACAACAATAACTAAGTGTAAAGTGGTTTACTACTGTGCGAGGAGGATTGGGGTCTAAAATGTGGAACAATCTCCAAGTTCTAAAAGTCTACGAGGTTATGCTATATTATGTACCTCACAGACTTTACAGCAGTTAAGCAGCTTGTAAATACAGAGATAATACACTATACAGTACTTTGGTATAGTACTTAGATGGTAAAGTGATGATTTCATGACTTAATGATGGAAAATACTGAAATTACCAAACGGAATCATTTAAATAGTAATACTAATACTGTACCTCCCAGGGTTATTCAGCAGCTGCTTAATATGTGATTTAACGAGGCCAATTATATTTATAGCTCATTTCCAAATACCTATCAGTATCTTAAGTTCCACTTGAATTATTTAAATCAATAATTTTATCGGACCATACTTTTCATCATTTCACATTCGCTACAATTTCCCCATTTTGAGATTCAGAAAGTGAATGATCGAAGAGGCTTTCGAAGAGGTTTCGTTCTAAAATTATTAACAGCTAATGTTAGCCCACTTCTCTCACCGATTCAGCCTTTACAATATCGAACCTGGTTATCAGTACAATTTAATACACAGACAAAGAACTAGCTGAAACTACGAATATGACATTTTGCAATAAATATTATTGAGCTTGAAGATTAAAATTTAACATTCCAATTATAGATCGTTAGTATAATTTGAGGACAAAATCAAAGAATTTATCCCATGAAAATCAATCGAAACTGAAACTGATGGAATAATAAGTACGATATTTTGGTATCGTCCACATGAATGATATCAGATTCAGGATCGATTGATCTATAAAGAAATTCTAAGTGATACAGCACGATATCAATAATGAAATCACATCTTCAAACTTTGCCACTTTGATTACTCCTGTAGAATTACTTTGTATGTTGAGATGATACATTTTAGGCAAACGTATCAAAGTATTTTATTATAAATATCAGATGGGTATCAGTGGTGCATGTTCACTGCTGGAATACTTACTTAAGCTTCTGGACAACAGTATCAAGTACGTCCTCCAATCACTCCTGGCTTAGATCTTTTTGAAGATTCCAATTCCATTCAAGGCGGTATATCCTTTTGTGGCACTGGGGCAGGGTATCACCTTTCAAGAATTTAGCAAGGGAGGATTTGAAAGTTTCCAAGACATTTATTGAATTAACTTGGGGAGCAGGTTCCATAACTTGGCTAATTTTATTCCAAAAGAGGTTTTTTTTTTCGCTGTTGAAAAGTACGTGAGTCTAATAACAGCAGGCTGTATCGTCGTCCTTCTAGTTGTAACGCTCAAACTCACAACTTTAACGCTCGAAAATCGAGCGTGCAAAATTTTTGTATTTATGAATATAATATTTATTTAAATTTAAATTATATTTCACACTAGACCCAGGTTATAGAGAAACTGATTAGCGGTTGTTAGCGTAACTAGGGGACACTAGTTACTAATTCCTGGTTCCGATAAATGACAATTATCAAATCAGAGAATAGTACTGTTAATAATGTACTAATAGAGGGCCTCGGGTTGGGGATACTGTTTCCATGGTGGCTAGTCGGCTGGCGGGTTATAAGTTAGTCTGAAAAGAGGCAAAGAGGACATAGCCTGAACCATATTAATGTTTAAGGGGTCGTTCGCATATTACGTAATCACTTATTGGACAATTTTCGACCCCCCTTCCCTTTCGTAATCAGTTTTATTGTGTCAAAATTACACTAGTGTAATCGTTTGGAAACCCCCGGCCCCCCTCCCCCTCGGCTGATACGTAATATTATGGGAACAACCCCTAATGTGAGACCAGCTGTTATGTTCTCGTTTTTGGTGGAAGGTTTAACTAGTTAGTTTAACTAGTCGGTTAGATGCTAAATGGCAGGTACCCCCCGTATTCACACTCAGACCTGAGTTTAGTCATTTTCCGATACGAGATTGGGGGCGGGTTCTAAAAACAAACAAACAAACAGATGCTAAGTGGCTGGTAAATCAGCATTAGTTAGTGTAGGCTCCTAATCGGTGTAGAATGGTTCGCAGAGTGTAAAGCAGACCGGGCTCTAAAGTTGCCCTTTAATGGCTCATGATCGGTATTCGGTACTTTACCGGTTCTAGAGCTGCTCCTGACCGGTTCTAAAGCGGTGGTCGGTGATTATCTTAATTACATTTAACGGGGTATTCTGCATTTTTGGCACTATGCCATGTCATGCGGGTTTCCAACTGATAATATCCGGATATCTCATTAAAATAATGATTTGTAATTTTATATCATCTAAATATTTTTTAGTATGATTATAAAACTTCCACAACGTTCCATATAAATACCTTCCTAAAAGTTCGTTCATACACACTCTTTATTGTTTTGAGTAGATTTAAGGTTTCTTCTCAGATTTTAAGTTACATGACACGACACTAATGTACTTGTACTCCAATATTCTAATCCTTGTTTTGTGTTAAGTTTTGTATAATCTGTACTGCCCATGGACCAGAAGATCTAAGTTTTACTGTATCAAACTCTGCGTAAGTACCGTCTTTAATATTCTCGTCAGTTCTCTCCCACTTACTCACCAACGACTTCCCCAACACACAACTCAACTGCCGCGCTTTTTCTCTGAACGTTTCCACCTCTATTTCCACTTCTGGTCTCTGGAGTTGTGCCAAGACCGCCAACTGCCAACATTCCAGAGATACCGACACACGTTTCTGAAATACCTCATCCCCCAGGTCTCTAGCTCCACTAACATGGCTTTGCAGTGCTGGAACGCTTGTAGGAAATCACCCAGCGTCATGTAGATGGAGGTGTTTCGGGTAGTGTTCCTTAATCTTCTGCCTCGTTGTCTCATTACTCACTGAATCTGTTGATTCCATCAAACAAACCGGGCAATCACAAACAAACTTCTCCCCAAACACTTGGGTCCTTTTATCCTTCGGCTCAAACAATTTTATCCCAGGCAGATAATCCGCCCTTAATTCCTCCCCTTTTTTGATATCTTTACATGCTCGTATCTCTATCTTCCCACCGCTTTCCCACTCACAGGACTCAGAACTAGGTTTGGGTCCACAAGAATGTTTGACACGTGACAGGACGAAGTAGAGCGCTTTGACCGCCCTTACACTTACTATTGTTTATGTTTCGTCTTTGGAATAAACTGAGGACTTTTTTAGAAGAGTCCTCCTCGGGGATGGTAGCGAGGCTCAACACTTTCTCCTGTTGTTTGAGATCAAGTTTCTTGAACTCAGACAAGATATCATCATCTGAGATATCAGTAGTGTAAAGGATAGGATCTTCTTCGAATATAACGGAGCCTTGTTTGGTGTACCGACCAGCTACCACTACTTTCCCCTTGTCGGAGGTGGTTTGTAGACGGTAGGGGAGGACTGGCTTGTTTCTCTTCTTCTTCTGAGGCATCTTTATTTGGGGGCTACCGAGAATTTGGAGTTAGAAAAAAGGTTAACATAATTATTGGATGGAATGCTGCACTAGATTGGTGGGGGAATCAGAAATTAAAAATCAGTTCATTAATAAGTAAACAACTCGCAAAGAAAATCAAATTTCCCATTTTACGAATGACTTAATAGGAACTATCGAGTATTAAGACCAACCAAATCATACTTTAATTAAGGTAAAATCAAAAAACATTTTCTAGCATATATATGATAGTGCTAGCCCATCAAACAAAGCGTACTCTAAATGATAGCTGCAGCTAAATATTTTCTTGTATCATGACACTTTCAAAACGACCAATAATGTTTAGCCATGATCAATGCATATTTATAGAATATATTCTGAATACTAAATGATAGAAATTCCCGACTTTCCTGCGAACAATAGTTGGAATGCGAAATAGTTTATTACAAATAATGCATTCAAAAATTAATTGTAGATTATTTGATATGTTTATTAAAATGTTTTTTCTTTAGGAATGTATGTTGATGATGATGATGACCAAAGTCCTAACTCCTATAGTCAAGTATGTACAATTATTACTAGCTTCATCCCTGTTACCACGGACTTTCTAGTAATTTATAAAGTCAGGGGTCGTTCACATATTACGTCATCATTTTTTAGCAATTTTTTACCCCCCTCCCTCCTCCGTAATCAACGTAATCAAGACCCAACCCCCCCCCCTCCCTGACAGCAATATTACGTAATCATGGCCTGACTTCCCCCCCCCCCCCCCCCCCCCCCCCCCCCCCCCCCCCCCCCTTTGACTTTTTCCCTGGAAATCATTTTTCTTTACGTTTCATGCTACCATGATCATGATGAGCCGATATCATTGTTATGATATCATTGTTATGATATCTGGCCTAGCACCTTTCAAACTACTCACTAATACTATAGTCGAATATCCGATCAATTTCTAAATTTTATCACTATCAGAATGAAATTGAGTGGAGTTTGAATTAAAATATTTTCCAATTGTTATTATTCTGGAGGGTAAAAAAGATAATTTTGATTACGTAATCAACGACCAAAACCCCCCCCCCCCCCCCCCCCCGCGTAATCAACCGTAAGCATTTGGAAACCCCCCCTCGGCTGATTACGTAATATGTGAACGACCCCTAAGAGTCAATGATAATGACAAATTGAAATACGAGTTTGCGAAGGGAAGAGTTTTAAATAATAGAATAATAGAAGGAACTTGAGCAGTTATTGAATATACAGTTACAATTATTGAGCGCCATTTTTGCAATAAAAATCCCCAAAGTTGCCTAAAAGTATACATGCCAAAAAATTCTTCATGCCAAAGTGAGCAAAGGAAATTATTTTACTTTCTATGCATCGGTAAAGGAAAATCAGGGTGGGAGAAGTTGCTGTAGTCCATTAAAGCGAAATCCGCTATGTAAATTTGGTACAACCTATCAATGACCTGGTGATCCTGTTGAGATAGCCACTCCCTGGCCAGAACAGCCGAGGACTGCAATCTAGGATCACTAACAGAGTCATATGCACCAGACAGCTGCAGAGTAGTGTTTATCCTCTGTTTAATGTCCCTGTTGAGAACACCGCTGTACTCTAAAGGTATGACGTAGTCGTATCTAGCTGAAGGGATGCACAGTTGGAGGTGCTGGGGTGTAAAGTGGTCGTTTAACTTATTAGGATTGTCCACCAGCCATCTCAGATACTGGTTAAAAGTGGGGTGTGTTCCGCTATTGGTCATGTTATCTCGCAGGTTCATCTCATGTGCTATTCTCCGGGCTAATCCTCTGAAAGCAGGTCTCCCAGGTGTAACCTCGCCGGACAGTTTGTCTCTGTACCCAGAGACTAACCTGGTCCAGGGGTTGCGAACCACTGCAAAACTGAAAATATTTTCACCTCTTTTAACTGCCTTCCTAACGTCAGCAGCATTTGAATGAGCGCCTAACCGGAACTCATCGGAATACAACTTGTGAATGGTATTGACTTGACTTGGTCCTAAACTCATGTTTAAGGTACCTTCCGCTCTCATTAGGAACTCTTTCCAGTTTGAAGACCCGGATTTGGGGATGCCTGTGAATATGGTCTTGATTTTAGGAAAATAGTAAGTATGTCTTAGTTTCCTGCATATCCATTTGTTGGGTGGACTAAGAGCCTTATAGTTTAACATAGCCATAGTCCGGTTTATTTGCTGTTCGATCCACTGGTGAGAAGGTGGAGTGAGATGAAGATCATTGGTAACACTGCCTTTTGAATATTCACTGGAAATAACAGACCCAAAGTTTGGTTTCAAGAAGAGGATAAAAATAACATAGACAAGAGTCCAAAAAAGGAGAATTTTGAACAGTATTTCTCTCTTTCGGTTATGTTTACGAACTTCTGCCATGGACAACTAGTTCTGGACTTCGTTCTGACTCTTTGGTATCGACGTTACATACTTTGAAACTGACTAAGAAACCAAGGGAATTAATTTTACTTTCCTAAAAATTAAATCTTTTATTTCATTTTTATACCACTTAAAAAAAACATTCCAGTTCATTGTGCAAAAAGTTGGAGATTTACATTTTGTAACTATGTATCCGATATCGATCGTAATTACTAAAAATACAAAAATACTCTAGCAAACTTGTAACTGCAGTTTTACGGGACTCTAAATGCTTAATGAATACACTTGCAGGTACTACCTCTAAGCATTTAGAGTCCTTGTGACCACGGGTTTTCTAGTCATCTTACTTATGATTCAGAGAATTATTTCTGCTTAAGCAGAAGTGAATATTCAGTTTATTGATAGCAAGCTGGAAGAGTCAAGAAATAGACTCGCCACTTTCTCGAACCCTCACGATATGTCGAGAGAAAGAACCTTAACTTCGTATCGCTGGTAACGTTCTACTCGATGAAATATGAGCTTGTTATTAAAGGACCAGTTAACTGAAAAAAAAGTTATCCTCATATTTTGACAGATTGTGACAAATAGCAAACTAAGCAACGAGTCGAAATTCCTAAATCTCTAACTGCTCTCTAACGCGTGTAATTAGCGTTTGTATTATTTTGGCGATGACGTCATAAAGTCCCTTGCGCGCACTGAGTAGCTCGTGAGACTGTATTTTACAGGTAGAAAATGGACATAATACAATGTTTCTCCCCCAAATAACTCGAAAAGTAAGTATTTTAGGGTACATGTTGCTTCATAAGTTGTATATAAACATGGCCATTCTGCACAATTTGCACTCATTCAAAAATCTGTAGGGCCTTCATAGCCCAATTTACGAGATGCCCATATTTTAGCATGATTTCTGGAACCGAAAATCAGTTTTTCGCCAATAACTGAAAAAGTAAGCACTTTAAGGCATATGTTTGTTCGTAAGTCATATATTAATATGCTAATTGCGGTTCTTTTGCACCCTGTCTAAAGACTCTATCACGATCCTATCAAAAATGGGCTCAGCACCACGCCCAAAATGGTTTTTGGCAAATTTCTCGAAAAGTAAGGATTTTAGGCCATGTGTTGCTCAGTAACTCCTATATAAACAAGCATATGCCGCTTGGTTTAAGCCTATTTAGAAGTCTCTACGACCTTTAGAAGCAAGGGGTCGGTTACGTTGTTGGGTCAATATGGGCGTGGCCCTCCTGGGTTTTCTCCACGGTCAAAAAATGTCTCCAAACGAAAATCGTTTATTCATACCTTCAGGAAGGTCTGTGCAAAGTTTCGTGAGTATTTGAACATTTGCAGGTTCATTTCCATAAATGTCCATAAATGACTGGACTACACAACTTTAGAGTTAACTTTAGAGAAACTCTTAAGTCATTTATCTCAAATTAAGCTGTTAGTGTCCATGATCAACCTGTGGCGACAATGTTTAACGTGAAATGTAAAAATCAGGAGTAATATAAAAAGTGTATTTTTAGATTAAAGTGCTAGCTCATAGTTTTAGAATTGTATAGATTAACGTTGGTCGTTTAGCCATCTAACAATCGATCGTGCCGTAATATATGGCCAGAGAATAATAGGGTCTTGGAAATTCTATAGTTGTTCAGTGGGTCGATTGACTGAACACGTTTGCACTTGGTATTTAAACTTACCAGTAGTTTATTTATGTTATGTACCGATGATAATGCAATTAGGATAACAACTAGGTAAGCCGTAAGTCTAATTCAAAACACACCGCACACCGTACACACCAATCAGTATTACTATTTGGTAGACCGGGTATTTTGGCGGGAATTCTGTTCCCACGGCACTGTTCTGATAGAAGCTACTTCTACTAATAATCCCAGAGGAACGGCCGTAAAGTAGCCAGACTTCTTGTCTCCTGTACTGGCTGACACATGTGGATTAAAGTTAGAAATTCCGCTATGATATAAATATAATTGCTCTCGGAATTGAACAAACTCCTACTTATCTAGATCCTTTCTAAACTCGTTAGAGTTTCATGGACTGGGGAAAAATAATCGGTACAGTCTCCCTGCTTGTGTAATTAAGCAATGAAAACAATCCAAAATTATCACATTATATGACATAAGTTGTAATAGCAGAAACTTTCTAACCGTACATTCACCCGCCACTGTTCAAGAAATTATGTCACTGTTTAAAATCATGACGTGAGCACTGTACATACAATCAGCTATTCCTTTAGTTAGGATGATAGCCAAAACTATAAGGATTTTGGAGAACTAGGGTAATAGTCATAATTCTAAAATTTGAGTGAGTTACACGTGTTTTATTGACGATGATAAACATTTGCAATGTATTACGCTATGCAAGCGCGCACTGAGGGACTTTATGACGTCACGACGCCACAGCTTATTATTGCAATAACACGCGTTACACGTACGCTAGAGAATTGGTTCTTTCGGCGATACGATTCTTTACCAGTTTGTCACAGCTGATTTAAATCTTAGCCAAATTGGAGACTACAAATTTTTCAGTTAACTGGTCCTTTAAAGAGCAATGCTAATATTGCAATTGATTCTATAACAAAGCAAGCAATAAAGAACACGATAATGCTATCAAAGTTTTCTATTTTTATCTTTGAAGTTCGAATTTTACCGATATTAATTTTATTAAAGGATGACGTAATGCTACCTTGTACTGTGTATCTGGGGCATGCTTGTATTGCGCTATGTCATATGTAATTGCTCTGTGAAAGTTTGGAATCTCTATCTACTTCCTACGCCACGCTACAGCTAAATTAAGAAAGTGATGCGTTACGTAGAACGTTCCTATGCTCAAAGGGACTGCCCTCTCAGTACTGTGTAAACACACTATTTAAGTATCTAGCAGACGTGATCGTCCGATTTTTATACGGTTTGCTTCGGCTTCCGGATCATGTTTTGTGTCCGTTTTTGTCCGTTCGTTTTTGTCCGTTCGGTACCACTACTATATTTTCAAAACGGACATAATATGTATGTTCATATGTAAGCCTCTTGATTATATAAAGTAGGGCGGACAAAAACGGACAAAAAAAGTTATGAAAATAACATTTAGATGCTTCCTCCTCCTCAGCAGTCCTCAGTCCTCCTTCTCCTCCTCAGCAGTCCTCCTCCTAAGTCCTCGTCCTCGTCCTCAGTATTCCTCCTCCTCCTCCTCAGCAGTACTCAGTCGGCAGTCCTCCTCCTCCTCCTCAGCAGTCGTCAGTCCTCCTTCTCCTCCTCCTCAGCAGTCCTCAGTCCTCCTCCTCTTCCTCCTCCTCCTCCTCCTCCTCCTCCTCCTCCTCCTCCTCCTCCTCCTCCTCCTCCTCCTCCTCCTCCTCCTCCTCCTCCTCCTCCTCCCCCTCCTCCTCCTCCTCTTCCTCCTCCTCCTCTTCCTCCTCCTCCTCCTCTTCCTCCTCCTCCGCAGTCCTCAGTCCTCCTGCTCCTCCTCCTCCTCCTCCTCAGCAGTCCTCAGTCCTCCTCCTCCTCCTCCTCAGCAGTCCTCCTCCTAAGTCCTCGTCCTCGTCCTCCTAAGTCCTCGTCCTCGTCCTCCTCAGCAGTCCTCAGTCCTTCTCCTCCTCCTCAGCAGTCCTCAGTCCTCCTTCTCCTCCTCCTCAGGCCTCAGCAGTCCTCAGTCCTCCTCCTCCTCCTCCTCCTCCTCCTCCTCCTCCTCCTCCTCCTCCTCCTCCTCCTCCTCCTCCTCCTCCGCAGTCCTCAGTCCTCAGTCCTCCTCCTCCTCCTCCTCCTCCTCAGCAGTCCTCCTCCTAAGTCCTCGTCCTCGTCCTCGTCCTCCTAAGTTCTCGTCCTCCTCAGTATTCCTCCTCCTCCTCCTCAGCAGTCCTCAGTCCTTCTCCTCCTCCTCAGCAGTCCTCAGTCCTCCTTCTCCTCCTCCTCAGCAGTCCTCAGTCCTCCTCATCCTCCTCCTCCTCCTCCTCCTCCTCCTCCTCCTCCTCCTCCTCCTCCTCCTCCTCCTCCTCCTCCTCCTCCTCCTCCTCCTCCTCCTCAGCTCCTCCTCCTCCTCCTCCTCCTCCTCCTCCTCCTCCTCCTCCTCCTCCTCCTCCTCCTCCTCAATCCTCATCCTCCTCAGTTCTCCTCCTCCTCAGCCCTCCTCCTCCCCGATACTCATCCTCCTCTTCAGCTCCTACTCAGTCCTCCTCCTCATCTTCCTCCTCATTAGTCCTCCTCCTCATCAGTCCTCCTCCTCCTCCTGAGTCCTCCCGAGTCCTCCTCCTGAGTCCTCCTCCATCCCCAGCCGGAAAATGCAAAGTCTCCTTACCGGGAGCAATTTACTCGCGGATTTAGAGCGTTTTAATGGATTTTTTATGGTTTTAAAGTCTGTTCTATGTCAAATACCGACGTAAAACTTTCTCATACAATTATGTTAATTAATTTAACGATCCAAACGTTACAAAAATAAAATATTGAGCCTTCTAACGAACGGAAAAAAGAAGGCAAACATCACATAAACACTGTACTGAGAGGGAACAACATTTCAAACTAGGAACTAGAAATTTAGTGTGCGTGATATCTCCATTAAATGTGGAAGCTAGAAATTCCGTTCTTTAATCATATTAGGGTATGCGAGGCCTAAGTTAACGTAACATGCACCACAAAATCTTTGCCAAAAGTTAAAAACTCATTTACGTCATCCTTTAAGGATTTGTCATGACTCATTGTTTCTGCATTTTTGAAAATTAAATTCAATTAATGATATTGTAACTATATAATGATGATGTAACAAGGTTACATAGCATAGGAGCATAATTCAAGTATGCAGAGTGCAGACAAATATTACTTTTGTTATCTTGCCAAATTTATCGCCGATAACCGATATTATCGCGATAATTTTGAAAAAGTTATTGATTATCGCGATAAAAGAAATTGTACCGATAATGGCAACCCTAATTAGCTTCCTCCGTGTGACCACGGGCTTTTTAGTCTATATTATAATTCAAAGAATTATTCTGTCTGTACGACCGCCCACGTCCAAATTTGATGAGAAATAGGAAGTTGCATATATGCTATAGTAACTAAAGTGACGAGGGTTGTTGAACGTGCAAAGATTTTTGGAATGGCATTTTGATCGTTTTTGTTGTTATTACGTTGTGTTCAGTGCGGGGGGGGGGGGGGGGGTCATATTTTCTTCCAAAACACAGTTAGTACTTTTGTACTAAGTGGTGGGTCTGCTGCTCATTTCCCAGAAAAACAGTTAGTACATGGTAATAAGGGGGGTGTCCAACCCCAAAAAACCCATTTTACCTCTAATTTCAATTTTGGTAATGGTTTTTGAGGTTTTTTTTGGGTTTTAAAAAATTTGTTTCCTTTTTTGTAACTTTTTGTCTAATTCGACTACATTGAAAACAAAACCCCTACTAAATAGTGGGTATAATTTGCCCATTTCTCAATGTTTAATGAGCTGTTTAAAGCAATTTTTAAAACTCTAAATGATAGCAGCAGCTAAATATATGTCTTGCATCATGAAACTTTCAAGACGACCAATAATGTTTAGCCATGATCAATGCATATTTTTAGAATATATTCTGAATACTAAATGATAGAAATTCCCGACTTTCCTGCAAACAGTAATTGGAATGCGAAATAGTATATTGCAAATAATTCATTCAAAAATTAACTGTAAATTATTTGCGATATGTTTATTAAAATGTTTTTTCTCTAGGAATGTATGTTGATGATGATAATGACCAAATTCCTAACTCCTATAGTCTAGTATGTAAAATTACTACTAACTTCACTCCTGTTACCACGGGCTTTCTAGTGATTTATAAAGTAAGAGTCAATGATAATTACAAATTGAAATACGAGTTTGCAAACGGAAGAGTTAATAATAGGATAATAGAAGGAACTTGAGCAGTTAAATAAATATACAGTTACAATTATTGAGCGCCATTTTTGCAAAATAAAATCCCCAAAGTTGCCTAAAAGTATACATGCCAAAATATTCTTCATGCCAAAGTGAGCAAAGGAACTTATTTTACTTTCTATGCATCGGTAAAGGAAAATCAGGGTGGGAGAAGTTGCTGTAGTCCATTAAAGCGAAATCCGCTTTGTAAATGTGGTACAACCTATCAATGACCTGGTGATCCTGTTGAGATAGCCACTCCCTGGACAGAACAGCCGAGGACTGCAATCTAGGATCACTAACAGAGTCATATGCACCAGACAGCTGCAGAGTAGTGTTTATCTTCTGGTTAATGTCCTTGTTAAGCACACTGCTGTACTCCAAAGGTATGACGTAGTCGTATCTAGCTGAATGGATGCACAGTTGGAGGTGCTGGGGTGTAAAGTGGTCGTTTAACTTATTAGGATTGTCCACCAGCCATCTCAGATACTGGTTAAAAGTGGGGTGTGTTCCGCTATTGGTCATGTTATCTCGCAGGTTCATCTCATGTGCTATTCTCCGGGCTAATCCTCTGAAAGCAGGTCTCCCAGGTGTAGCCTCGCCGGAAAGTTTGTCTCTGTACCCAGAGACTAACCTGGTCCAGGGGTTGCGAACCACTGCAAAACTGAAAATATTTTCACCTCTTTTAACTGCCTTCCTAACGTCAGCAGCATTTGAATGAGCGTCTAACCGGAACTCATCGGAATACAACTTGTGAATGGTATTGACTTGACTTGGTCCTAAACTCATGTTTAAGGTACCTTCCGCTCTCATTAGGAACTCTTTCCAGTTTGAAGACCCGGATTTGGGGATGCCTGTGAATATGGTCTTGATTTTAGGAAAATAGTAAGTATGTCTTGGTTTCCTGCATTTCCATTTGTTGGGTGGACTAACAGCTTTATAGTTTAACATAGCCATAGTCCGGTTTATTTGCTGTTCGATCCACTGGTGAGAAGGTGGAGTGAGATGAAGATCATTGGTAACATTGCCTTTTGAATATTCACTTGAAATGACAGACCCTAAGTTTGGTTTCAAGAAGAGGATAAAAATAACAGAGACAAGAGTCCAAAAAATGAGAATTTTGTACAGTTTTTCTCTCTTTCGGTTATGTTCACGAACTTCTGCCATGGATATTGGACAACTAGTTCTGGACTCAGCTCTGGTCTGAAAAATTGAAATTATTACAACTTAAATTAAGTCTCCATTCAATGCAAAGCTACAACTATACTCGAAGAAACTGATTTTAAAATAAGCGAACGAATAAATTGAAATGCTTATGTTGAACGATAACAGTAAGGTTGCCCGTATTATATGTTTTCTTAACTAAAACTTTTCACTTTATCTAAAGATACGCGCTTTGTTGAGGCAAATGTAAACAGTAAAATAGTTAAGGTCGAACATTAACAGGAAACTAGTTACTTTTCAAACCGCATGAAGAGTGCAATTATCAAAAAAATTGGGAACGTGCTTTCCTGAAGGGGTGAAAATATCATCCAGGGCTTCCCAAAAAAAGGGCTACTTATTTCAACTTAACATTAACATAAACGTGCTCAACAAATGGATATTGGATTTAAACCATTTTTAGGACGCCTAATTACCATTATCACAGGAAGTGTAAACCCGTGTAAATGACGTGTTAACCATTGCTACATGGGGAAATGGCTATTTAATGCTTAGGATATAGATACTGATATACATCTGATATACATCTGATACAATACAATATTTATATTTTTCTGAACTATTTAAATTATTTATCTTATTATCGTCCGCTCCCCTACGATATTTCACGTGCCTGCATCACATGATTAAAACACTTTGGTTTTCCTTTCTGAACCAGCATGAGTCGCGGAAGTCGTAACAAATAATTTGAGGAAGAAAATATGGACAGAACTGAACAAGAACAAAAACCACATTAAAAAACTGAGGAATCAGGAGAACTCTGCAACCCAATTTTGTGGTAATTATGTTGTGTTTAAATTGTTTACATTTAAATCGGCTGTATCTTCGGTTGGGATGAATATTTCTGTATGTGATTTATTTTAAAGAATACTACTAGCTTCCTCCCTTTTAACACGAGCTTTCTAATCATTATTATAATTCAAAGAATTATTCTAGTCTGTCTGTCTGTATGTACGACCGCCCACGTGCAAATTAGGTAAACAAATAGAAGTTGCATAGTAACCATAGTAACGAGAGTTGTTGAACGTGCACCTGCAAAGATTGTTGGAATGGAATTTTGATCGTTTTTGTTGTTATTACGTTGTGTTCAGTGCGAGCTACATCTTAATCGGTTGTATCTTCGGTTGTGACTTGCGATGGATATTTTTTGATTCGATAAAAACTGACCGCCATGAATTCTTGTATCATGACACTTTCAAAACGACCAATAATGTTTAGCCATGATCAATGCATATTTATAGAATATATTCTGAATACTAAATGATAGTTTATTGCAAATAATGCATTACAAAATTAATTGCAGATTATTCATTATTATTGTACGATATATTTATCGAAAGGATTTTTCTCTAGGAATGTATGTTGATGATGATGATGACCAAATTCCTAACTCCTACAGTCAAGTATGTAAAATTAAACTCGTAATTTAAAATATTTGTTGTGATCAACTGTAATCATAGAGCTGTAAATATCAGACTTTCACATTCGGCCTAATTAAATGAGGTCTTATCTCTAAAACATAATATACAGTGTAGAAGAATGCGAGATTTCGAGTAATAATGCAATGTCTCAAATAAATAATGATTTTAAAGGATCTTAGTTACACAATACAAGTTTTATCACCACGAAGAATCTCAGAACCCTCAAAAAACCATTCAAATCATTTCCCCATCACCACACATTCCAAAATTCATTAGATCAATGAACATTTCAGAGACCTATAACACAAGCCATAAACCCTCCTCCACTGGATGATCCCGAAGTAGAAGAAGACATTAATGATGTCAAACCTAAAATACTACTTTTTGGTCTGCGAAGAAGTGGCAAAACCAGTATCAGGAAGGTGGTGTTTCATAAGATGAGTGCAAATGAGACGATATTTCTGGAAAGCACCACCAAGGTAGAGTTCACTTTCTTGATTTTATCAAACTGGTTTGACTTGCTTTTTTATCACACATTGCAGCTCTAGTTGATATTGTTGTGCTGTTGATTTTAACCACATTCTAACATTCCAGTTGGAGCACGAGGACGTTTCTAAGAACTGTTTTATAGACTATGTTATCTACGATTTTCCTGGGCAAGTAGGTATCAAAATAATGTTAACATTTCAGTACATATTTATATGTATAATCATATCTTGTGTCATTCTCATAATTCTTAGAATTATGTATTAATACTGTTACAATATATCTCTTATCAGCAATTTTAGATAGATGTTTTTTCATAGAAAAAGGCTTTTTTACCACGATTGAAAATTTGTCTTAAAACTCTTTCGAAATCAATATCCTGATTCTGTGTAATAACGTACATTATAATACATACTGATAATGATAATTTTGTCGACCGCAGGGATCCTATTTCCCTGACTAATTGCGTTTCGACCACGGCCCTCTCGGTACAGCTTTCACTGTAGCATAGGTGGGCACAACCCCAACCATCTCCTGTGCCGCGAGATTTATGAAGCATTCTGCTTTAATTCTACACATACCTAAATAAAAACTCGTGCAAAGTAGCAAAAATCCATTTCATACTTTTATGAAAGTTACTGCAAACCTGGCAGCTCATCTAGATACAAATTATGAACTGTTACGTACAAAACCTGAAGATTTTATCAGAATCAACGAAATGTTCACCTAAAGTAAGCTCTCATCCCCATTCTGTTTTACCAACCATTTTTCAGGCAGACGCATTGGAGGACTCGGCAATAGACTACTCACATATTTTTGATGGAAAATGTGCTCTTATTTTTGTTATCGATGTTTTGGAAGAATATAAGGTACTTCTAGTTTGATATTAACCCGTTTATTTTGTATCATTTAGATAGTGTTTGTTAATTATGCGTGAAATATTATTTTTACTTAATTTTAGATACTGATTACAGCTTTTAAGTTAAAGTAGACGTTTTACAAAATGTTATATTTCAGGAGGCATTAGATAAAATAGTTAACACACTCGTTGGTCTGGATAACAAGGGAATGCTTGAAAATATTGAGGTACGGTGTTTTAATCTACGTAAAAAGGTTTGCACACTTTGCCGGTCCATGACTAAAGTTTCCTGAAACTGTGTTATGGTCGCCTCATCACGTGACAGATACCATGGTCCGAAAATATTCCACAGTTCGATTTTTTGTAAAACTCGGTTAATCTGATGTAACAGATTTGAGAGTAGAGACTTCAGACTTTGTACCAACAATCTTCTATTTATCTCCAAGATACCCAGCAAATTTTGCGATAAAATAACCACATGACTTGAAGTTGTGGGCCGATAAAGTATGCACAGCGTTTTATAAAAAACTCCGTACTGTTATAATGTTATAGTTCTAGGTGGTCCGTGGTGTAAATTGAAAAGAGTCACATGCTAACGTGAATGTTTTGATCGTAGGTCAATTCCGGCACATACTTCGAAAGGGTCTACTTTATATTTGAGAGCACGTTTCCTTGATTTGTGTATGCGATTTGTATGCGATTTCACCCCTGTATGCGATTTGTGTTCCGGGGTATTTGGAACAGGTTTAGGGGTTTAAATAGTTAGTACCTGTCCCAAACCATCATAAAAATCAAGTTTCGACCTCCCAACCCACTCGGGCCACTCCCAGGGGCCACGCCCATCCCAAAATAGCTGAAATCCAGGTCAAATCAAGATTGAAAATCTTTACCCCCGTATGCGATTTATGTTCCGGGGTAGGTGGCCCATGTTTTAGTATAAAAATGGGTACTGCCTATCCCAAACCATCATAAAAACCAAGTTTTGACCTCTCAAACCACTCAAGCCACTTGGGGTTGTGCCACCCTATGCTACAGTGAAACGCCTGTCCGAGAGGGCCGTGGTCGAAACGCAATTAGTCGAAATAGTATCCTGCGGTCGACCAAAATATCATTCTCAGTATGTATTTTAATGTACGTTTATTACACAGAATCAGGATATGTGCTCTTCGCGCCTTCTCCTGCAGTCCCTTTCCCCCATCCAACGACAAATCCCCTTACAATCGTGCGTAAAAAAAGCACTTCTTCTCCTCATGAAAAAAACATTATCTAAAAATTGCTCGAAAAGAGACATCTATTGTAACAGGTATTAATTAAAAGATTGACGACAATTATGAGAATGACACAAGATAAGATTATACATATAAATATGGTACTGAAATGTTAACATTATTTTGATACCTACTTGCCCAGGAAAAATCGTAGATACATTCTATAACAGTTCTTAGAAACGTCCTCGTGCTCAGTCTCGTGAAGTGATACCTAGACTAGAGAACACTGTTCGAATCCCCGCTGGTTAAAATCAAAGACAAACAATATCAACTAGAGCTGCAATGTGTGATAAAAAGCACCAATCCCACGATCTTTCCATGATGTCATATACAGTTTGCTAAAATCAAGAAACGTAGGATACGACGTGTGATAGATGACGTGTCCTTGGTGTGTGCTTTCCAGAAATATCGTCTCATTTGCATCATCTTATGAACAACCATCCTTCCTGGATACTGGTTTTGCCACTTCTTCGAGACCCTACTCTCTATGTTAGTATTTTAGGGTTTGACATCATTAAGACTTTTCTACTTGGGATCATCCAGTGGAGGAGGGTTTATGGCTTGTGTTATAGGTCTCTGAAATGTCATTGATCTAATGTTTTGGGAATTGGTTGTGGTGATGGGGAAATGATTGAATGGTTTTTTGAGGGTTTGAGATTCTTCGTGGTGATAAAACTTGTATAGTGTAAATAGACCCTTTTAAAATCATTATTTCATTTGAGACAATGCATTATTACTCGAAATTCGCAATCTTCTACACTGTATATTATGTTTTAGAGATAGACCTCATTTATTAGGCCATGTGAAAGTTGATATTTACAGCTCTATGATCTACAGTGATCACAACATATATTTTAAATTACGACGTTTATTTTCATACTGACTGTAGGAGTTAGGAATTTGGTCTTCATCATATCATACATAAACATTCTAGGAAACATCCTTTCGATAATATATCGTAACAATAATAATGAATAATCTGCAAATTATATTTATGTAATGCATTATTTGCAATAATAACTCTCATTTTGTATTCAGATATATTCTATAAATATGCATTGATCTTGGCCTAAATTAATTGGTGCGTTTTGAAAGTGTCATGATACAAGAGAATTCATGGCGGTCAGTTTTTATCGAATCAAAAAAATATCCATCGCAAGTCACAACCGCAAGATACAACGAAATATTTAAGATGTAGCTCGCACTGAACACAACGTAATAACAACAAAAAAAGATCAAAAATCCATTCCAACAATCTTTGCAGGCACGCTTTCCAACAACTCTCGTTACTATGGTTACTATGCAACTTCTATTTGTTTCTAATTTGCACGTTGGGCGAGTCGTACATACAGAAGACCGATAGGAATAATTCTTTGATTATAATAATGATTAGGAAAGCTCGTGTTAAAAGGGAGGAAGCTAGTAGTAGTTTCTTCTAAAATAAATCACATACAGAATATTCATCCCACGAAGATTACAGCCGTTTTTAAATGTAAACAATTTAAACACAACATAATTACCACAAAATTGGGTTGCAGATGGTTCTCCTGATTCCTCAGTTTTTTAATGTGGTTTTTGTTCTTGTTGTTCTGTCCATATTTTCTTTCCTCATTTATTTGTTACGCTTCCGCGACCTTCATGTGGTTCAGAAAAGGGAAAACCCAATGTGTGATTCATGTGATGCAGGCACGTGAATTATCGTAGGGGAGCGGACGATATTAAGATAAATAATTTAAATAGTTCAGAAAAATATTAAATTTTGTTTGTACTCCAGATTGTATATCAGATTGTATATCAGTATCTATTCTATGCATGACATGCCATTTCCCCAGGTAGCCAATGGTTAAACACGTCATTTAACGGGTTTACCACTTTCCTGTTGATAATGGTAAGTCGGCGTACTAACAAATGGTTTTTAAATCAATATCCATTGGTTTTGAGCACGTTTATGTTAATGTTAAGTTGAATAGTTGCCCTTTTTTTGGGGAAGCCCTGGATGCTATTTTCACCCCTTCAGGAAAGCACTTTCCCATTTTTTTGGTAATGCACTCCTTCAGCGGTATGAAAAGTAACTAGTTTCTGTTAATGTTCGACCTTAAACTTTTTACTGTTTACATTTGCCTCAACAAAGCGCGTATCCTTTAGATAAAGTGGAAAAGTTTTAGTTAAGAAAACATTAATACGGGCAACTTACTGTTATCGTTCAAAATAAGCATTTCAATTTATTCGTTTCGCTTATTTTAAAATCAGTTTCTTCGAGTATAGTTGTAGCTTTGCATTGACTGGAACTTAATTTAAGTTTGTATAATTTCAATTTTTCAGACAGAGGCTGAGTCCAGAACTAGTTGTCAATATCCATGCAGACAGATGATCGTGAACATAACCGGAAAGAGAGAAAAACTGTTCAGTAATTCTCGCATTTTTTGGACTCTGGTCTCTGTTATTTTTATCCTCTTCTTGAAACCAAACTTAGGGTCTGTCATTTAAGTGAATATTCAAAAGGCAATGTTAACCAATGATCTTTCATCTTCACTCCACCTTCTCACCAGTGGTCGAACAGCAATAAACCCGGACTAAATGGGGACTATGTAAACTATAAAGCTGTTAGTCACCCAACAAATGGAAATGCAGGAAAACCAAGACATACTTACTATTTTCCTAAAATCAAGACCATTATTCACAGGCTCCCCAAATCCGGGTCTTCACACTGAATGGTTTATCGAGAGCGGAAGGTACCTTAAACATGAGTTTATGACCAAGGTCAAGTCAATACAATTCACTGTTGTATTCCGATGCGTTCCGGTTGACGCTCATCAAAGCTGCTGAAGTTAGGAAGGCAGTTAAAAGAGGGTTGAAAAATTTTTTCAGTTTTGAGTGGTTCGCAAACCCCTGGACCAGGTTAGTTCTGGGTACAGAGACCAAACTTTCGGCGAGGCTACATCTGGGAGACTGCTTTCAGAGGATTAGCCGGTAGAATAAGCACATGGAGATGGAACCTGCGAGAGAATAACATGACCAATAGCGGAAACACACCCCACTTTTAACCAGTACTGAGATGGCTGGGTGGACAATCCTACTCAGTTAAACGACCACTTACACCCCAAGCACCTCCAATGTTGCATCCATCAGCTAGATACGACTACGTCATACCTTTGGAGTACAGGCAGTGTGCTTATCAAGGACCTTACCAGAAGATAAACAGACTCTGCAGCTGTCTGGTGCATATGACTCTGTTAGTGATCCTAGATTGCAGTCCTCGGCTGTCTGTCCTGGGAGTGGCTATCTCAACAGGATTCACCCAAGGTCATTGATAGGTTGTACCCATTTACAAAGCGGATTTCCTTTAATGGACTACAGGCAACTTCTTCCACCCTGAATTTTCCTTTACCGATGCATTTTAGAAAGTAAAATAAGTTCCTTTGTACTTGGCTGAAGAATATGTTGGATGTATACTTTTAGGCAACTTTGGGGATTTTATTTTGCAAAACTGGCGCTCAATAATTGTAAACTGTATATTTATTTAACTGTCAAGTTACTTCTATTATCCTATTATAAACTTTCCGTTGCAAACTCGTATTTCAATTTGTAATTATCATTGACTCTTACTTTATAAAATCACTAGAAAGCCCGTGGTAACAGGAGTGAAGTTAGTAGTTAATTTTACATACTAGACTATAGGATGTTGGATTTGGTCATTATCATCATCAAACTTACTTCTAGAGAAAAAAACATTTTAATAAAATATCGCAAATAATTTACAGTTAATTTTTGAATGAATTATTTGCCAATATATATTTCGGCCTTCCAATTACTGTTTGCAGGAAAAGTCGGGAATTTCTATCATTTAGTATTCAGAATATATTCTAAAAATATGCATGATCATGGCTAAAACATTATTGGTCGTCTTGAAAGTTTCATGATTGCAAGACATATATTTTGCTGACTGCTTGCATTTAGAGTTTTAAAAAATTGCCTTTAAACAGCTCATGAAACATGAGCAATGGGCAAATTTATACCCATATTTAGTAGGGGTTTTGTTTGCATGTAGTCGAATTAGACAAAAAGTTACAAATAGGAAACAAATTTTTTAAAACCAAAAAAAACTCCAACAACCATTACCAAATTGAAAATTACAGGTTAAAATGGGTTTTTTGGGGATGGACACCCCCTTATTTACCATGTACTAACTGTTTTTCTGGGAAATGAGCAGCAGACCCCCACTTGTACAAAAGTTACTTAACTGTGTTTTGGAAGAATATTATGACCCCCCCCCCCCCCGCATGAAACACAAGTAATTAACACAAAACGATCAAAATGCCATTCCAAAATCTTTGCACGTTCAACAACCCTCGTCACTTTAGTTACTATAGCTCTATGCAACTTCTATTTCTAATCAAATTTGGCCGTGGCGGTCGTAACTGACAGAATATTCTTTGAATTATAATATAGACTAAAAAGCCCGTGGTCAAGGAGGAAGCTAATTAGGGTTGCCATTATCTGTACAATTTCTTTATCGCGATAATAAATAACTTTTTCAAATTTATCGCGAATAATACGGTTTATCGGCGATAAATTTGGCAAGATAACAAAGTAATATTTGGTCTGCACTCTGCATAGCTTGAATTATGCTCCTATGCTATGTACCCTTGTTACATCATCATTATATAGTTACAATTTTCATTAATTGAATTTAATTTTCAAAAATGCAGAACAATGAGTCATGACAAATCCTTAAAGGATGACGTAAAAGAGTTTTTAACTTTTGGCAAAGATTTTGTGGTGCATGTTGACGTTAACTTAGGGCCCTAGATACCTAATATGATTTAAAGAACGGAATTTTAGCTTCTCATTTAATGGAGATATCACGACACTAAATTTCTTAGTTCTGTGTGAAAGTTGTTCCCTCTCAGTACAGTTGTTTATGTGTGTTTGCCTTCTTTTTTCGTTCGTTAGAAGGCTCAATATTTTAATTTTGTAACGTTTGGTCCGTTAACAATTAATTAACATAATTGTTATGAGAAGTTTTACCGTCGGTATTTGACATAGAAACAGACTTTAAAAACATAAAAAATCCTTAAAACGCTCTAAATCCGCGAGTAAATTGCTCCCGGTAAGGAGACTTGCATTTTCCGGCTGGGGGGGATGGGAGGCGGACTCAGGAGGTAGGACGCGGGAGGATCAGGAGGAGGAGGAGGGACTGATGAGGAGGAGGATAATGAGGAGGATGATGAGGGGAGGAATGAGATGAGTAGGTGCTGAAGAGGAGGATGAGTATCGGGGAGAGGCGGGCTGAGGAGGAGAAGAGAACTGAGGTGGATGAGGTATTGGGAGGAGGAGGAGGAGGAGGAGGGAGGAGGAGGAGGAGGAGGAAGGGAGGAGGAGCAGGAGGAGCTGAGGAGGAGGAGGAGGAGGAGGAGATGGAGGGAGGAGAGTGAGGAGGAGGTGAGAGGAGGAGGAGGAGGAGGGGAGGAGGAGGTTGAGGAGAGGACTGAGGACTGTGAGGAGAGAGGAGAAGGAGGACTGAGGATGCTGGGAGGAGGAGATGGATCTGAGGACTGTGTGGAGGAGGAGGAGGAATATGAGGAGGACGAGAACTTAGGAGGACGAGGACGAGGACGGGAGGATTAGGAGGGAGGACAGCTGAGGAGGAGGAGGAGGAGGAGGAGGGTCTGAGGACTGTGGAACTGCGGAAGGAGGAGGGGAGGAGGAGGAGGAGGGCGGAGGAGGAGGAGGAGGAGGAGGAGGAGGAGGAGGAGGAGAACTGAGGACTGCCTGAGGCCTGAGGAGAGGAGAGGATGACTGAGGACTTGTGAGGAGGAGGAGCAGACTGACGGACTGTGAGGAGGACGGAGGACGAGGATTAGGAGGCACGGGCCGAGGACATAGGGGGAGGACTGCTGAGGAGGAGGAGGAGGCGGACTGGGACTGCAGAGGAGGAGAGGAGGGGGTGAGGCGCAGGAGGACTGAGGACTGCGGAGGAGGGAAGAGGAGGAGGAGGCGGAAGAGGAGGTGGCGGAAGAGGAGGAGGCGGAGGAGGTGGAGGAGGAGGAGGAGAGGAGGAGGAGGTGGAGGAGGAGGAGGAGGAGGAGGAGGAGGAGTGGGAGAGGAGGAGGCGGCGGAAGAGGAGGAGGACTGAGGACTGCTGAGGAGGAGGCGAAGGAGGACTGCGACTGTGAGGTGGAGGAGCGAGGACTGCCGACTGAGTACTGCAGAGGAGGAGGAGGAGGATACTGAGTACGAAGGTACGAATGGACTTAGGAGGAGGACTGCTGCGGAGGAGAAGGAGGACTGAGGGGACGCTGAGGAGGAGGAAGCATTCTAAATGTTATTTTCATAAACTTTTTTTGTCCGTTTTTGTCCGCACTAAGATGAGTATAATCAAGAGGCTTACATCCACAGCGCTTCCATTACCATATTATGTCCGTTTTGGCTGTACTATCATATAGTGTCACCACCGGGCTCCCCGCTCGACACGCGACAAATCACACGAAGGACAAAAACGGACATACAAAAACACGTCTCCATATCGAGCTCACCGGCGAAGCCCAACACCGTATAAAAATCGGACGATCACGTCTGCTGTTACTTAAATAGTGTGTTTACACAGTTTATGAGAGGGCAGTCCCTTTGAGCATAGGAACGTTTCTACGTAACGCATCACTTCTTAATTTTAGCTGTAGCGTGGCGTAGGAAGTAGATAGAGATTCCAAAACTATCCACAGAGCATTACTATGACATAGCGCAATAACAAGCATGCCCAGATACACAGTACAAGGTTTGCATTACGTATCCTTTATATAAATAATATCGGTTAAACTTCGAACTTCACAAAGATAAAAATAGAAAAACTTTGATCGCATTATGTGTTCTTTATTGCTTGCTTGGTTATAGAATCCAATTGCATATTAGCATTGCTCTTTAAACGGACATTAACTGAAACATTTGTAGGTCTCCAATTTGGCTAAGATTAAAACAGCTGTGACAAAAAACTGTAAAGAATCGTATCGCCGAAAGAACCAATTCTCTAGGTACGAGTACGCGTGTTTATGTGCAAAAATAAGCTGTGGCGTCGTGCCTTCTAAAGTCCCTCACGTGCGCGCTTGCATAGCGTATAATACATTGAATGCTTTCATCGTCAATAAACACACGTTGTAACTCACTCAAATTTAGAAATATGACTAGTTACCTTAGTTCTCCAAAATCCTTATAGTTTTGGTATCTCCTAACTAAAGGAATAGCGATTTTGTATGTACAGTGCTCACGTTGATTTTAAACAGTGACTAATTTCTTGAAACAGTGGCGGGTGATGCTACGGTTAGAAAGTTTCTGCTCATTACAACTTATGTCATATAATGTGATAATTTTGGATTGTTTTCATTGCTTAATTACACAGCCGGGAGACATGTACCGATTACCCCAATTATTTTTCCCAGGTCCATGAAACTCTAACGAGTTTAGAAGGATCGTGATAAGTAGAGTTGGTTCAATTCCGAGAGCAATTATATTTATATCATAGCGGAATTTATAACTTTAATCACATTGTGTCAGCCAGAAACAGGAGACAAGAAGTTCTGGCGGTACTTTACGGCCGTTCCTCTGGGATTATTCGTAGATGTAGCTTCTATCTGAACAGTGCCGTGGGAACAGAATTCCGCCAAAATACCCGGTCATACCAAATAGTAATACTGATTGGTGTGTACGGTGTGCGGTTGTAGATTTGAAAATAGGGCTTACGGCTTACCTAGTGTTATCCTAATTGCATTATCTCGGTACATAACATAAATTAAACTACTGGTTAAGTGTAAAATACCAAGTGCAAACGTGTTCAGTCAATCGACCACTGAAACAACTATAGAATTTCCAGACCCTATTCTTCTAGGCCATATATTACGGCCACGATCGATTGTTAGATGGGCTAAACGAACCATCGATATCTATTCAATTCTCAAACTATGAGCTAGCACTTTAATCTAAAAAATACACTGTTTTTATTACTCCTGATTTTTACATTTACGTTAAAACATTGTCGGCCACAGGTTGATCATGGCCACTAACAGTTTAATTTGAGATAAATGATTAGAGTTTTCTCTAAGTTACTCTTTAAGTTGTGTAAGTCCAGTCATTTATGGACATTTATGGAAATGAACCTGCATTGTTCTAATACTCACGAAAACTTTGACGACCTTCCTGAAGGTATGTATAAACGATTTCTGTTTGGAGACATTTTTGACCTGTGGAGAAAACCAGGAGGGCCACCGCCATATTGACCCAAACAACGTAACCGAACCCTTGACTTCTAAAGGTAGTAGGACTTCCTAAATCGGCTTAAACCAAGCGCATTGCTTGTTTATATAGGGAGTTACTGAGCAAAACCTATGGCCTAATATCTTACTTTTCGAGAATTTGCCAAAACATTTGGGCGTGGTGCTGAGCCCATTTTTGATAGGATCGTGATAGAGTCTTTAGAAAGGGTGCAAAAGATCGCAATTAGCATATATATATGACTACGAACAAACATATGCCTTTAAAGTGCTTACTTTTTCAGTTATTGGCCGAAAAAAGATGAAAAAAAACTGATTTTGGGGTTCCAGAAATCATGCTAAAATATGGGCATCTCGCTAAATTGGGCTATGAAGGCCCTAATGATTTAGAATGAGTGCAAATTGTGCGGAATGGCCATGTTTCTATACAATTATGAAGCAACATTGTACCCTAAAATACTACTTTTCGATGTTAGTGTGGGGGAGAAAGAAAGTGAAACATTGTATTATGTCCATTTTCTACCTGTTTATTAAAATACCAGTCTCACGAGCTACTCAGTGCCGCGCAAGGGACTTTCTGACGTCATCGCTCCATAAATAATACAAAACGCTAATTACACGCGTTAGAGGAGCAGTTAGAGATTTAGGAATTTAGAAAACTCGTTGCTGTAGTTGTATTTGTCACATCTGCTAAATTTGAGGATAACTTTTTTTTCAGTTTAACTGGTCCTTTAATTAACAAAGCTCATATGTAATCGAAGTAGAACGTTACCAGCGCTACGAAGTTAAGGGTTCTTTTCTTCGACATATCGTGAGGGTTCGAGAAAGTGCGAGTCTATTTCTTGACTCTTCCTAGCTTGCGATCAATAACTGAATATTACTTCTGCTTAAGCAGAAATAATTCGCTGAATATAAGGAAGATGGACTAGAAAACCGTGGTCACAAGGACTCTAAATGCTTATGAGGTAAGTACCTGCAAGTGATTCATTAGCATTTAGCGTTCCCGTAAAACTGCAGTTACAATTTGTAGAGTATTTTTGTATTTTTAGTAATTACGATCGATAGCGGATTACATTAGTTACAAAATGTAAATCTCCACTTTTTGCACAATGAATGGGAATGTTTTTTTTTAAGTGGTCTAAAATGAATAAAGATTTTAATTTTTAGGGAAGTAAAATTAAATCCCTTGGTTTCTTAGTCAGTTTCAAATTTTTCTTCTTCTCTCAAAAAAAAAAAAAAAAAAAAAAAAAAAAAAAACAAAAAAAAAAAAAAAAAAAAAAAAAAAAAAAAAAAAAAAAAAAAAAAAAAAAAAAAAAAAAAAAAAAAAAAAAAAAATATAAAAAAAAAAAAAAAAAGTAGGTAACGTCGATACCAAAGAGTCTGAAACGAAGTCCAGAACTAGTTGTCCATGGGCAGAGAAGTTCGTAAACCTAACCGGAAAGAGAGAATACGTTCAAAATTCTCCTTTTTTGGACTCTTGTCTATGTTCTTTTTATCTCTTCTTGAACCAATCTTTGGGTCTGTTATTTCCAGTGAATATTCAAAAGGCAGTGTTACCAATTATCTTTCATCTCTCACTTCTCACCAGTGGATCGACCAGCCAATAAACCGGACTATGGCCTATGTTAAACTATAAGGTCTTGTCCACCCAACAAATGGATATGCAGGAAACTCTAAGCCATACTTACTATTTTCCTAAAATCAAGACCATATTTCACAGGCTCCCAACTCGGGTCATCAAACTGGAAAGAGTTTCTTAATGGAGCGGAAGGTACCTTAAACATGAGTTTAGGGACCAAGTCAAGTCATACCTTTCAAAGTTGAATTCCGATGAGTTCCGGTTAGGCGCTCATTCAATGCTGTTGACGTTAGGGGAAGGCAGTTAAAAGAGTGTGAAATTTATTTTCAGTTTTGCAGTGGTTCGCAACCCATGGACACAAGGTTAGTTTGGGTTACAGAGACTCGCTATGTCGGCGAGGTTACACCTGGGAGACCCTCTTTAGTGGATTAGCCCCGGAGAATCGCACCATGAGATGAACCTGCGAGATACATGACAATTAGCGGAAAACACACCCAACTTTTAACCAGTATTGAGATGGCTGGTGGACAACCTTAATAGTTAAACGACCACTTTACAACCCCAGCACCTCCAACTGTTGCATCCCTTCAGCTAGATACGATACGGTCATACCTTGAGAGTACAGCGGTGTTCTCAACAGGGACATTAATACAGAGGATAAACACACTTGCAACTTGTCTGGTGCATATGACTCTGTTAGTGATTCTCGATTGCAGGTCCTCGGCCTTGTGTTATGGCCAGGAGTGGCTTCTGTCAACAGGGATCACCAGGTCATTGATAGGTTGTGTACCACTTTACATCGCGGTTTTCGCTTTAATGGTCTACAGCAACTTCTCCACCCTGATTTTCCTTTACGATGCATAGAAAGTAAATAATTTCCTTTGCTCACTTTTGCATTGAGAATATTTTTTGGCCAAGTATACTTTTTAGGCAACTTTGGGATTTTTATTCGCAAAAATGGCGCTCAATAATTGTAACTGTATATTCAATAAATGCTCCAAGTTCCTTCTATTTTCTATTATTTAAAACTCTTTTCCCTTCGCAAACTCGTATTCAATTTTGCATTATCATTGACTCTTAGGGGTTCGTTCACATATTTACGTAATCAGCGAGGGGGGGTTTCCCAATTGCTTACGGTTGATTACGCGGGGGGGGGGGGGGGGGGGTTTTGTCGGTGATTAGTTAATCAAAATTATCTTTTTTACCCTCCATGGAACTAATAACAATTGGAAAAATATTTTATTCAAAACTCACTCAATTTCATTCTGATAGTGATAAATTTAGAAATTGATCGGGATATTCGACTCCTATAGTATTAGTGATAGTTTTGAAAGGTGCTAGGCCAGATATCATAAAATGATATCCATAACATTGATATCGGCTCATCATGATCATGGTAGCATGCATGAAACGTAAAGAAAAAAGATTTCCAGGGGAAAAAGTCAAGGGGGGGGGGGGGGGGGGGGGGGGGGGGGGGGGGGAGTCGGCATGATTACGTAATATTGCTGTCTGGGAGGGGGGGGGGGTTTTGGCGTCTTGTGATTACGGTTTGATTACGGCGGGAGGGTGGGGGGTAAAAATTGCTAAACATACTGATGTCATATTATGTGAACGACCCTGACTTTATAATTTACTAGAAAGTCCTTGGGTAACGGGATGAAGTAGTAATAATTGTACATACTTGACTATAGGAGTTAGGACTTTGGTCATCATCATATCAATACATCCTAAGAAAAAAACATTTTAATAAACAATCATATAATCTACAATAATTTTTGAATGCATGATTGTTAATAATACTATTTCGCCTTCCAACTATTTGTTCGCGGAAAGTCGGGGAATTTCTATCATTTAGTGTTTCCAGAATATATTCTATAAATATGCATTGATATGGGCTAAACATTATTGGTCGTTTTGAAAGTGTCATTGATACAAGAAATATATTTAGCTGCCAGCTATCAATTAGAGTACGCCTTCTGTTTGATGGGCTAGCACTATCATATATATGTAGAAATGTTTTTTTATTTTACCTTAATTAAAGTATGATTTGGTTGGTCTTAATATCGATAGTTCCTATTAAGTCATTCGTTTTAAATGGGGAAATTTGATTTTTCTTTGCGAGTTGTTACTTATTAATGAACTGATTTTAATTTTGATTCCCCCACCAATCTAGTGCAGATCCATCCAATAAATATGTTTAACCTTTTTTCTAACTCAAATTTCGGTAGCCCCAAATTAAAGGAGCCTAGAAGACGATAGAGAAACAAGCCAGTCCTCCCCTTACCGTCTAACAAACCCCCCTCCGACAGAGAAAAAGTATTGGTAGCTGGTCGGCTACACCAAACAGGCCTCCGTTAATTAGAAGGAAGATCTATCCTTTACACTACTGATATTCTTCAGATGATGATTCTTGACTGAGTCAAGAAACTTGATCTCAAAAACAACAGGAGAAAGTGTTGAGCCTCGCTACATCCGCGGAGGTCTCTTCTAAAAAAAGTCCTAGTTTATTCCGCAAAGACGAAACATAAGACAATAGGTAAGTGTAAGGGCGGGTCAAAGCGCGTTACTTCGTCCTGTCACGTGTCAAAACATTTCTTGTGGACCAAACATAGTTCGGAGTCCTGTGAGTGGGGAAGCGGTGGGAAAGATAGAGATACGATCTGTTAACGTTATCAAAAAAAAGGGCGAGGAAATTAAGGCGGATTATCTGCTGGGATAAAATTGTTGAGCCGAAGGATAAAGGACCCAAGTGTGTGGGAGAAGTTTGTTTGTGGATTGCCGGTTTGTATGTGGATCAACAGATTCAGTGAGTAATGAGTGACAACGAGGCAGAAGAATAATGGAACCTACCGAAACACCTCCATCTACATGGACGCTGGGGGTGATTTCCTACAAGCGTCCCGCACTGCAAGCCATGTTAGTGGAGCTAGAGTACTTGGGGGATGAGGTATTTCAGAACGTGTGTCGGTCTCATCTGGAATGTTGGCAGTTGCGGTTTTGGCACAATCCAGAGACCGAAGTGGAAATAGGAGGTGATGGAAACGTTTCAGAGAAAAGCGCGGCCAGATGAGTTGTGTGTTGGGGAGTCGTTGGTGAGTAAGTGGGAGAGAATGTGAGATATTAAAGGACGGTATTTCGCAGGAGTTTTGATACAGTAAAATTAGATTTCTGGGTCCATGGGCCGTACAGAATTATACAAAACTTAACACAAAACAAGGATTAGAATATTGGATACAGTACTAGTGTGTGTCATGTAACTTTTAAAATCTGAGAAGAACCTTAAATCTAACTCCAGAACAATAAGAGTGTGTATGAACGAATTTTTTAGGAGGTATTTATATGGAACGTTGTGGAGTTTTAAAATCATACTAATAAATTAATTTAGATGATATTAAAATTACAAATCATGATTTTATTGGATATCGGATATTATCAGTTGGAAACCACGCATGACATGGCATAGTGCCAAAATGCAGACTCCGTTAAATGTAATTAAGATAAACACGACCACGCTTTAGAACGGTCAGGACGCAGCTCTAGAACAGGTAAAGTACGTAATACCGATCATGGGCATTAAAGGGCAACTTTTGAGCGGTCTGCTTTACACTCTGCGAACCATTCTACACGTTTAGGAGCCTTCACTAACTAATGCTGATTTACCAGCCACTTAGCATCTGTTTGTTAGTATGTTTTAGAACCCGCCCCCAATCTCGTATCGGAAAATGACTTAACATCAGGTTGAGGTGAATACGGGGGGTACCTGCCATTTAGCATCTAACCGAATAGTTAAACCTAACTAGTTAAACCTTCCACCAAAAACGAGAACAAACAGCTGGTCTCACTTTAGGGGTTTTTTCCATAATATTACGTATCAGCCGAGGGGGAGGGGGGCGGGGGTTTCCAAACGATTACTAGTGTAATTTTGACACAATAAACTGATTTCGAAAGGAAGGCGGGGGGTCGAAAAATTGTCCAATAATGATTACGTAATATGCGAACGACCCTATAACATTAAATATGGTTCTGGCTTTGTCCTCTTTGCTCTTTTAAGTCTAACTTATAACCCGCCAGCCGACTAGCCACCATGGAAAACAGTATCCCAACCCGAGGCCCTCTATTAGTACATTATTAACAGTACTATTCTCTGATTTGATAAATTGTCATTTATCGGTACCGGAATTAGTAACGAGTGTCCCTCGTTACGCTAACAAACGCTAATCAGGTTTCTC